GGGGGGGGGGGTCACCTCTAACTTCTCATGCCCAGGGGCCACAGAATGCATTTCATTTCAACCCTATTCAAATGCATACTTGTATAAAAAAAATGTAGTCACTTTTAACTAAGGCCCTCCCTCCATTCCAACTGCCATCACTCTGGTCTCAGAATGAGAAAATAAGAAGCAGATTCTACTGGATTTAATCCCCTCCTCCACTGCCATGCCCTTTCCTTGTGTGTCCTATCTTCAGATTGTAAGCCTGAGGGCAGAGAACTGTCTAATTACCAATTTGTTAGCTGCTCTGAGAGTATTTCTGAAGAGCAGTGTATAAATGTAATAAATAAATTTAAGTACTACAAAAATCCTTCCAGGAAGGCAAGGTATCTCTTCCAGGTCTAAGGAAGCCAGGATTTCCCTTAGAAGAGTTTCATTACAAGGATAAAACTGGGGGTTTTATGTGACCCTCCAGAAGGTTATGAGTAGCAAATGCCCATCATTCCTCACTACTGGCTATATGGCAACAGCTGAGGGAGTTGTCAATAATATTTTGGAAGGGCACACACTTATCAGTCCTGATTTAAAGCTTCAATTGGGTCCAGAAAATTGGTTGTCTGGATAATCTAGCTGTCTGTTGTCCAACCTAAGCCTGAATTATGCTTCACAAGGAGCTATCCATGATCCTGAAGAACCATGAGCTGCATCATGCCTTATCTTGACATAATCCCACCAAAGGTTCCAGCCTAGAACCAGAGACTCAGCTATTAGGAGAGGGAAGTTTCAATTACCAACAACTGTCTTTTTTGTCTGGGTGTAGACCATGTTTGGTATCATCAACACCCTTTTTCCAGGCTTTTCAATTTTGCATCACAAGCAGCACATGCTGGGTAGTTGCAAAGTTCTGTGGTCATCTGGTAATCTTAGACAATTCTATCAGCACGATGCTCTCCAAAAATCTCCAGTGGTACAATGGTTTATGATACTTTTTGAGGCCCTTGCCTGCTCATATGTCAGTACATAAGAGCACCCCTAACAGATATGGCAACATTTTTTTTATCAAATTCTTTCCCACAATAACCCTAGAGCAAAGGAATATAATTATTCCCATTTTACAGGTTGGAAACTGAGGTTTAAAGGCATGGCTCACCCAAGTGAATTCTATGCTGACCAACAAACTATGAGGACTTCTGTTAGGATTTGGATACTTACTTTTTTAGCATATTTAAATGCTTAACCATTTTGCACATGTGTATCCCTCTTCCAGCCTGAGGGATAAATTCAGTTTCAGAGAACTTCCCCATGGCCACAACTAAAAGGTTGTGGCCAAAGATATACTTTGAGAAAATCAACTTCACCTTTTTAACATTTTAAAAATGCTCTACAAATGCTGGGAACCACCTAAAAGATGAAGACACAAAGAAGGGGCCCAGAAGACAAGACGGAGGTCACAAGAGAGCAAAATTCAGTCCCAAAGCCAGAGGTTTCTTAGTGTGGATTTGCATGTCATGACAGCAATGGGGGGGGG